GAGCCCCTGGCCACTCCCACCCCCTGCCACCATCTGCCGTCTGGACCGGCCTCGGGGAGCCTGTGGGCAGATGGGGCTGTGGATCAGACAGGCCCTAGCCCCCCTCATAAAGCCCGGCAAGGGAGGGGGAACCCTCTGACCCGGGCCGACGCCCCAGGTGCCCAGGGTCCCCTTGGGAAAGGGTGTCTCCAGGGGCCTGGCAGCTGAGACCCCAAATGGTCTGGTGACTCAGCCTCCCCGGCCCAGCACACCCTGGCCCCGCGGCCAAGCAAGGGTACAGGGCGGCCTATATTAGGGTGCAGAGCCCTAGGCTCCGGTAGCAGCGGCTCCCCCAGCCTGGGGAGACCCCCGGCCAGGACGGTCCCCATCCAAGCAACTCAGCCCCTGTGTCACAGACGACAACACCAAGACTGGAGAGGGCAGTGTGATGGCCCAGGGCTCCCAGCAAGGCCGGCCCTGCCCTCCCTCCCTGGAAACTAAGCTGCTCCTCAGACACCTGCCCGCCCTGTCCCCAGGAGCACAGGCACCTGCCAGCCACGCCCTGGCCCACCGCCCCCACTGGGCCTTGAGGGCACCTGCCCTGCCGCAGCCCCTGGGGGTCACGGGGGCCGGCCAGGCTGGACGAGCCCCAGTGTGCGCCCGGCCTCCAGCACACAGTAGGTGCGCCTCCTCGGGCCCCACCCTCAGGGTCCCCAGCCGGGCCCACACCCACCAGGGCCCCACCCTCCACGGGGCTCCTCCCCCGCACTCGCTCCTCTGTGGGATTTCCGGGGCTCTCGGTGCTGACTCTGCGGCCCTGGGGCAGGCCCTGGCAGGCCTCTCTGAGCTCCCGACCTGGGGCGCAGGGAGCAGCCTGGTGATCCGGGCACTGACAGGAGGGGGCCCCGAACTTCCAGGAGCTGACCAGGAGCCCCTGCTTCTCTCCACAGTCCTCACGCTCAGAGACCAGGGCCACACGGACCAGGGCGCGGGGCAGGACTCGCCCTCTGACCTGAGCTGCTGCCACTCCCCAACGGCTGGGGACAGGCTGGGGGGGGCGGCCGACTCGGTCCTGGGAGCAGCAGGTGTCACTCAGGAAGGACAGGGACCACGGAGGGGGGGACGAAGAGGGAGCTGGGGGCCTCCCCGGGGTGACACGACAGGGTGCCCGGTAAATGCCACCATGGCCGCCCTGGAGGGCACGTCGGGGGTGGGGCCACTTAATGAGGGGGTCAGAGCCCCGCCTGCCTGCAATGCCCGGCACCCTGCTCCACCCGCTCCCACCTGCCGGGGTTCGAGTCCAGGCTCCGGGGCCTCCGTGCTGTGTGACTCAGGCAGGGTGCAAAGCCTCTCTGAGCCTCTTTCCTCAGAGGGCTGGGATGCTGGTGCAGACTGCCCAGGACCGCCTGTGCACCCAAAGGCCCCTCTGGGGATGGACTGGGCTCCCGAGTGCCAGTGCACGGACCGTCCCCTCCCCACCTGCTATGAGCCAAGGGGCGAGGAGGAAGGCCCAGGGGCCACAAGGCCCAGAGAGGGTGGGCGCCGGCCCAAGGTTACACAGCGAGCCCCGTGCGCAGGTGCAGCCTGCCCTGGGCCCGCCCTCCCAGCCCACAGCCTGTGTTGCAAGGTTGGCCCCGACGGGTTACCCCGCCCTGACCTGGTGCCAATCCCATCTGGCCC